TGAGTGCAGCAGCATCTGYCCTCTCAGCATCAGTAAATTCAGACCCTGAGAGCCACGTCCTGTGTTACACCCATTGTCCCTGTGTGACCAAAGAGACTGGGRTTGTTCAGCACCCCAGGCACAGGTATTTAATTCAGGGTAAGATGGATTGCAATCCAGCATTGCTATCTCTCTCCATTGAAAACAAGGCTCTGGAGAGCTGAGATACATTGAACATTTTTAGTTTGGTTAAAATTGTATGAGAGGAATCCTGCCTCAGGTGCTCAGGCTTCATGAGCCAGGCTTTATAAGTCACAGGTGTTGAAAATAACCCCCTTCTCCCAAATGACAAATGAAAATGCACCATTATTGATATTCCTCAAGGTGCTGAGAGCAGAAGTGGAGCCAATTTAGATCACGTGGTGCTGGCAGAGAATCTCTCACCGTGTTTAGACATCAGCCAGCGTAGTAGAAATACCAAATGGGAATTTATCACAAGACTCATCTTGGTAAGTCAAAACTCTTTAGACTTTTCAAGGGAATGTTGAATTTAGAGCATCATTCAATKTTATGATGGATTAGTTTCCTTTTTGTACACTAAACAGCATTTCAAAAAAGGTGCTTTTTTTCTCAGAAATGATAAATTTTAATTCTAAAATTGCTTGGCTCCATCTGSTATCTTATCAACACAATTCCTACACAACATTACAACTTAAAAAATAATCTTCTGGTGCTTTTCCCCATGCCTATTGCTATGGAGTAGTTCTACTGCTTTTAGTAGGGCCATTAAATGTAGCATGTGACCTTGTGGGCACCACACAGTCTGATGCCAGAGCTAAGAAACYGCTTGCTAAATTTTCCTTTTTTTTTTTWWYTTCCTGTACCATCTCMTTGAATACAGCTGTGGCTCAGAAAGATCATAATCTGAAACCAATGAGTCACTTAAATGCAGCTGAAAACTCAGTTTGGAGACCTGAATTCATATTGCAGGTGATGAGGCATGATGAAAAAAAAAAAAAAACAAACCAAAAAACATAACTACTGAATCTATAATTTCTCCATTTGGGTCCATTCCTCCATCTCCATACAGTCATTTCAGATGTGCACCTTCAATACATAAAAAGAAAGATTGGGGAGAAGGATAAACCCAGAGATATCTCCCACTTCTCTCTTCATATCCCTCACCCCACAGTTTTCCAAAGAAGAATAAAATTATAATAATTTTGCCTCAGTGAYTGGGGCAGGGAGAAAAGCTTTCTTCAAAAGGTGTCCTGAGTAGTTTATGCTGCATTGTTATGGAAAATTGCAGATAGTTGCTGCTCATTTGTGGRCAGGCAGTGTGTGTATCTCGATGTTCCCCTAGGAGCTGTGGGATTGTACCCTTGTCTGTGCAGTGCCCAAGGTATCAGGAAAGAGGAGCATGGTCATTCCTGTGGCCATTCATCTGAGGGATTTCTCATGCTGAGGGTCTCTGCTTGCATGTGTGATCAACGTCACCTGTTTCACGGTAAAACAACACCATGAGTGGAAACCATCTCTGTTTTATTTCTGCTAAGTGGTTTTCTATTTTACTAAGGTCTGTTTCTACCAAGATATCCAAAGACAAGAACAGCTAACTTCCTCGCTGAGCAAAACTCACCACTGATTTTGAGCTAAATTTACAATGGTTTTGATCTTCCAAAACTATTGTTTTAAAAATAAATGAACTGAATTGCTTTTATTTAGCTCTACCTGTGACTTTATTCCCATATATTGAATTGATTGCTTCTTGATCAAGAACTGATTGAAATCATCTTAATCTTAGTTGGAATGGTAGAGATRGAGGTTGCTCTTACCTTAGAGAAGCTTATCAGTGGAAATTATCTATCCAGTATAAATGGCCTCTAAAGAAGGAAAATCGTGAGTTTCCAGAAGCTTGTAACTGGCAATGAAAGCATTGATCTTCTTGTCAGATTTAATCCCTTCTTCAAATACTCAAGCAATTAGAGATCCTCAATAAAATAGTCAGAAGTTACTGTCAGGTTTTGTTTTAATATTTTTTCCCCAAATATCATTCTTGGAAGCAACAGGACTGTTCTGCAACTCCTGGACAAATGCAAMGGTCAGCTTCCAGCAGAGAGTCAGCATGGAAATTTCCAGCACAAACTGTTCTCACCTTTGTACATTGCAAGCACACTAAATGCTGGGTCTTCAAATAGAATGACTCAAGGAAAATTACCACTGTATCTGGCATCCACGCATACTGCATGGACTTTTGGGCTTTTATCATCCAAACTTGGTGCTGCACAATGCTTAAAATGAAGATGGARTAGGGGTGATACATTCCTGGAAAGTTTTATAGAGGAGTTTTCTGCTCCAGACATTTTCTGAAGGGCCATTGAAGGGACACCTGAGGCACGTAGCCTGCCACAAGAGTTTTACTTGATGATTCCTGATGCTTTCATCACCTGCCTCTGAAAGTCACCAAAGGAATGACTTTGAGCAATCCAGATCTGTGTCTGTCAAAGCTGTCTTGTCTGCCAGCCAGATGGTCGATAGGTTAGTGTGACCTTCTGCTTCCAGGGCAACTTCTTGGGGATGAGACAAATAGCATTTCTTCCCTGGATCCAGAGGTCACAGGAGACAATGCATTTAAAGCAAGCTCTTAGACATCCTTGTTTGAAATTCCACCTGAAATCCTGGTGTTATTGTTGTTATTATTACTACACCCAGAGTTTAACATCACTAAGCTGTCACCCAGGCAGCCAATATCTTTGTGGGCACAGAGCCATGCACCCCGTGGCTGTCCTGCAGAGATTTGGCTGCYGATGGCCAGGGCAGGGAGCAGGACAGCGAGCACCCGGCTGGTGAGCCTTGGCAAGGGACTGTGCAATGCCTTGCTGTGCATGAAATGGGCACAGTGAGGGGCTTCCTGCTCTCCAGCTTCTCCCTGTCACCTGAGTGAGCCAAGGGTCCAGACAGGAGTTTCCTCTGCTGTGGGTTCAGTGCCGGGATCTGGGCACAGGGCGATGATTTCAGACACCGCAGTGGGGCTGAGTGCAGGCAGGGCTGCCTGGCTTTTGTAAGCAGCTGCTTATGAAAACGCTCCCATTTCGCTCCTGAATGCCTGCCTRCCTTTCAGCTACCTCTGGAGAGGTGAGCAGATGGGTGATCAGGTGCATTTATGTTTTAATCCCTCATTAAGAGGAACACACAGGTTTTGAAATAGCTATTTTAAGCAAATGGCTGCAAATAAGGTGTGAAGCCCACAGCCAGGGTCTGCCCCTCACTCTGCCCTTTGTACTTCTCTCACCCTCGTGGTACCTCCTGCACTGCTACCTCCTCTCCCCCTCCCTTCATTTTTTTAATTTTCCGGTAGGCATATCAATTAGAGGAGGGCTTTTCCTTTTAAACGTCAGGATTTTCACTCGGCCCGCTAAGGCTGTCAGGTCTCGTTTGCTGCTGAAATGTTCATGCTTTGGTGCTGGACAATGCATGAATGTTTAAATTGCCTGAAATGTCTAATTGGATTATCCTCAAATTACAAATCAAAATAGGAGAGGCYGTCTCTGGCTCACAGGCTCGTTCATTGGGATGTGTCTGCTATGCTGCTGCTTTTCTTTATATTTTCTTTTCTGTTTCCGACTAGGCCTGTGTTAAATGAAACTTAAATACTGAAAGCATTTCTATTTGCGTGTGCAGGGGGAAGTGATGCCGAACATGAAGGGAAATTTATTCACGTTCTGGCTCTGAGTCCTTTTTGTGCTGCACAAAAATGAACTCATGAAATTTATATCAATGCATAGGAAAAGAGCCAGCTGCTATTTACAAAGAAATTTCCTTTCTCTTTCAGCCACAGTGGTATATAATATAAAATACTTTTAGGCAGATATATATAAATACCATGTAACTATTTTTTTTAATGAGAGCTCACAGATTAAGGAAAACAACTGCCATAAAAAAGATTTGATCTATCTGGCCAGCACACATGATAAAATCAGCTTCTTAAARCCTTGTCATTAACACAACAAGGGAGAAAGTTAAACCTGTAGGATTTTCTTTTCTAAGTTGTTAAGGGAGACAGAGCTGAGTCTCCATGTGCCTCATCTGCCCTGTCCTGCACCCTCCCCAGCCCCACTGGAGGCTGATCAGGGCTCTGGTCGGCGCAGTAATGCTTCTTTCATGGATGCCATATTTTTTATAGAATTTAATAGGGTTCAACTACCTATATCCAGCCTCAATAATTTTGTTACTGAACCTTAACTTGTCCACTGACTGCCTGAACCAAGGGCCCAAAGTGGGTGTTGGGGCAGCACACTGTGTCCAGCACTTGCAYCATCCCTCCTCTCCCCAGAAAAGACCCCTTGAGGGGCTGCACGTTCATCAAGGCATTGGTGCCTCCCTCTGTGGCTCCCAGGACATCCCATGTGCTCTTCTTTTCCTGCTCAAGTAAGGAGCCCTTGCTTGAGAACCKTSTTTCCATGAAGAAGTTTTTCCTAATATCCAATCCAAAACTCCCCTGATGCAACTTGAGGTGATCTCCTTTTGACCTGTCACTTGTTATCAGAAGAAACTGACCTCCATCTTCCTAGAACCTACTTCCAGGTAGCTGTGGAGAGAGATAAGGTTTTCCCTGAGCCYCTCTTTCTCCAGGCTAAACATTTCCAGCTCCCTCAGTTGCTCCTCATAAGACTTGTGCTTCAGATCCTTCATGTTCCCACCATTCTAGATGATTTTTGTTGCTCTGTTTTATTTAAGRTTTTTTTCCAAACTGGGATATGAAATAATTCCTAAGGGGACAGAAAGAACTGTTAGGGAATAATGTCTTGGGAACTAAAGACAGCCAAAATGCCTCCCTACTTAAATAAAATCCTCCCATGCCATGGCAGGTGTTAGCTGACCTGAAACCACAACAGAAAATGTTCAAGCAAGCCTGGTAAATTCAGGCAATAATTTGCATGAAGAGGCACTGCAGCCATTCCCCCCCKTCAATGCTACATAACCAACTGGACACAGGAAAGTTTTTACAAGTACATTTTTATTTAAAATAAAAATTAATTATGGTGCCTTTTTAAAATAGGGTACTGCACAATCTGTATATGCAACACAGTTTTTGGTACGGAACATACTTATTGAGCAATATCCTTAAATACTAAATATACATTAATGGCTTGTTTGAGAAACATGACAACATTAATTCTGGTATTTTTTTTTCTCTTTAGTCATTTAACCACTGATACAGATTTCCTATAAACAATATTTGTTTTCATCTGTACATGTGGTACACAGTCAAGAAGGCAGATCTTAGAATATTTACATTCATGCATTGATTTAAACACACTATTTTGCAGTTTAAAATAATATATTTTTGTTTGTACAGGTGCAGGGAGTATTGTAAATACATATCTACCATAGGCCTGATTCTCCATTGCTTGGCAGCATCTATGGTTGGAGCAGGGCGCCCACACTTTCCTCACATGCTGTGACCATATGGCATGCAAGACTGGACAATTAGGTCTCTGAATAGATATGTATAAATATATTTGTAATTTATACTTAGTAGAACTGTCCSCTTTCTTTCCATGTCTGTTTTTGCAGCATCTGTCCAAGGCAGAAATGCTTTCCTGGGCACACCACTGTGTCAGGTGTGGGACAGGAAGGGCAGCAGGGCTGGGGCTTCAGCTCCGTCTCCCTGTCTTCTGAGGAACGAGAAAACTCAGCACTTTGCAGCTCAGGCCCTTAAAATGCATTTCCTGCTAGTGGTGATCCTTGAGAAGAGATTTGGAGCCACTCTCCCTCAGACTGAGTTTGTCAAGTCTGTGTGGTGGTGGCCAGGGCACAGCAAGTACCTTCCGTGCAGAAATTGGCCACCTTGGCCTGTGCTGGGGATCTGGCTACTTTGTGAACGGAGCTAGGCAGGTCCTTTCTGCCTCTGATATTTTAGTGACTAAAAAGGAACCCAAAATGCTTGTAAAGCTGCATTTTGCATTGCCATTTCCCCAGATCTGGGATCACTGCTTAGTGAAGTGTTTATGTATCTGATCTGCTCCTTTCCCCTTGTATTTAGTTATAGTACAATAAGGAAGCACAGAAGCCTCTCTTATGAAAGCTTTGCAAGGGGTCTGTAGAGTGTTAGACACAACCTTAAACCACATCAGCAGGCCTCAGAAATCACTGCTCAGTGACATCCCCTGCCTAGCCTCCCTTTTCTGAAGAGTTACATCTGATTTTGGTGTACTTTTCCAAGCGCCTTCCTCAAGATGGCTTTACATTTTGGTGCAATGTAGTCAATGTAACTGGGCAGAAATCTTAAGGCAAAGCTACGCCCTGAAGATTTCCCACCTTCCTCGACCATGTCGTGATGTGAGGGCTGAGAGCTAAGGGTCTGGGCAAAGCAGAGGAGCAGCTCCCAGCCCTTCTGCTGCTGCTTTTCTGGGGCCAACGCTTTATTAAAGCACACGGGGCATGTCTGCTTCAAGAACTATCATGGCAATTACGTGCCCAATACATTTTATCAGYACATCGTATATAGTGATAGTGTATATCTGCCCACGCAAATAAGCTATGGGTATTTCTCTCAAAATAGTGCCACAGAGCTGGTACCCACTTTTATCTTGGTTATACAGATGGGTAAACGGAGGCACAGAGGCAAAATTACTTGCTAGTAAACAGCAGATCAGTGGCAGAGTTGAAAATAGATCCTAGGTGGCATGTGCTGTGTCTCACAATGCCCTGCTTCTCCGCTCTCCATGAAGTTTTTAAAGTTTATGTTCTCCTAAGGAGTCCTCATGAGGCCTGGGGGGGTTTGCTTGTGGGTTTTGTCATGCACTGGGGGCTTCTCCAGTGAGAACATTTTACCACTGATATCACTGGAAATCAGACAGTGTTTGGTGACCATCTCTTTTGACTCTTTTTTGCAAAAACAGACATATTTTAATGGACATAATGACCTACAAATGCCTTTTGTGATTTTGACCTTACAGAACACGCCTTTAAAGCTGTATTAAGAAACAAATAAAATCAATAGCCTTTAGGAGAAGGTGCTAATCCTGAGCCCAAATTATACTAAACTTTTCTGCATTCATACTTTATACTTTCAGATAAACATGCAACCGGTCTCAAACTATGCCACATTTCCACATTTAGGGTGAAACAACTGGAGTACAAAAAGAAAGGCAAACATAGGTAACTACACCAAAATAAATGTTATAGCTTAAAAATATTCTAGAAATATACTTGCAATATTTTTAATATAGTATTTAGGGGCTAAGTGCTTTAGGCAATCAACATTTGGGATACTAGATAGACTCAATGTGTAAATTCTGTCATTTTAATCCCACTTTGGATCTAAAAACATGTCACTGTGTCTCGCGCAAGCACACAACATGAATGTGGCTGGAAATGATCACACCCTTGGGTGAAGATTTACTAACTCCCTTTCACTTTTGTAATTGCGTTCACCTCCCAAGAAAGTCTAGCTTTAAAAAATAATTTTATGCAGTTGAAACTTCTACATAGTGATGACAGACTAAAAAGCTAAATGAATAACTACATAGATTTCTCAAGAGCAATATATAGCAGCATTTCATTTTATAATTAAAAAGGTACTTATATTTACATACACCCTATTGTTCAATAGGTAATAGAAAACTACAGATGGGCCTGAGCTGAGAATGCTGATTTGAACATCCCAGCCTTTTTTTTTTTTGGGAAGATCTGCAGAACATCATCTTCCTCTACCATCATGCAGAACTCTGCATTCCAGCAACAGACAGCCCGCGGGCCGGAATGCACTTAAAATCAAGGTCTGATCTCTGCAGTTCAGGCACATCCTCATATAAAACTGAAAGTATTGGTGTGTTGCAGTGCTGAGGGATGATACAGCTGGGGTGCAGAGCAAGACTGCATTGGTGCCTGGGAGTTACTCACAGACACGGAGACCAAGGGGTACCAAAGTTTTATATCCAGACAAGAAGCCAGGGTGTAAATTTGTCTTTGACTGCATCRCTACTTTCAGCACAGAGGTAAATGGAGACATACACGTGGAGTGTGACGCCAAAAAAACAGTTTTGAGGAGATGGGGAAAGACCAGCATCTCAACTAGTCTCATCACCTTTATCCTAAGGGCTACTTACTGAGTCTAACCTGAGATCCTRCGTGAAATGAATTTGGGTAAATTCAGCTTTTGCTTTATATAGTCTGCAATCCACATCACGGAAAGTACACTGACCTGTATGCTGAACTTGGCACTGCCCTCAGTCTCRGCTCAGGAGAGGCAGAGACCCAGACAATGTGGGCACAACCAGCTTACCAGACCCTCAAAAGTGGTCCTACAAGCCAGACCTGAAATGTCCTCAGTGGGTCAGTTCAGGAGACTTAACACTTTCAGGAACAACACTAACCAGTGAATGAAGAGAACTTCAAAGGGCTGCTAGTCCTTTCAACATAATCCCAAACACGCCAAGATGTAAACAGTACCTTTCCTGTAGGAGTTTCCCTGGGGAATCAGTGTGATGCAAACACAGAGAAATGTGGAATGTCACAAAGGAAGAACAATTATAAAGATAAAAGTGTGGTGTCAAAAAGGAAGCTGATTATGAAGTAATAACGTTTAAAGCACGTCTTAATAACATCTCTCTTTCAATGCTAATTGCTAAAATTTTACATTTTGATTTCTTTTGCCTGGAAAGTCTTCAGCCATGAAAACTGCACAGTCACCAGACTACAGATAAGTTTTCTGGGAAAAGTCACAAGTTCAGGCCAATTCTGCTTGATTGCCTAACAGAAACCTTTGTTCCCTTTTTAATAACAAAATAGTAAGAATGATAAGAACAAAGCATCAGCATATGAAACTGCACAGGCTGGAGAAGCACACAGGTGACACCTCTTACCATTTAGAGGGAGACACCTCCCTCTGACCCATCCGTGATAAACTGCTGCCACTCTGGCAGATCACCCTCTCCTCAAAAGATCCTCCTTCAGCAGCTTTTTGTGGACACTCAATTCAAATGTAAAAGTAGGGGAAGAGAGGAAGAAGCGGGAGGCATCACAACATCGCTTTCATGGGATGCAGCATGCAATGCTTATGCCTTTGAGGGGCCGTTTCTCTGGGCAGCCCAGGTGGGTGAGTTTATCCTCCCCTGGAGCAGCAGCAAGCCTGGAGAGCAGCCTGCTTTTCTCTTCTGGATCACTGATGCGTGCGCTGTTTCTGAAATGGAGTCCTGGGTCCCACAGCTCCCTTCGCTGCCTCATTTCACCCACCTTGCATACTCCGTGTGTGTGCTTTGRAAGTTTACCACCTCCTGTGCCTTGGCGGGGCTCGGGGATTATACAACCGCATTGTTATCAACTGTTTTGTTGTTTTGGGAGGAGGTCATTGCATATTCGGACCGACTGGTTCCGTTCTCTTCTTTTCTCATTGGTTTCCTTGGGTGGTCCCAGGTTCAGTGATGCACAGGCAGGGTGGGGAGAGAAGAAACAACAGAGATAAACATTTTCTTTTTCAATACAGATTGAAAGCCAGGACATGTAAGGTACATAATAATACTGAACCTTTCCTGTCCATTTTGCCCTTTTGGCCAAACCAGCAGTTAAATTTTGTCAAGCATTGTAGCCCACCTGGAAGGTGAGAGGTCTGATCCCAAGGTCTCATGATTAGCTATTGGTGTCTCTATGCTAGTCTGTTAACGCACACAGCTGTATCTGCTGCAGGAGATGAAGGCTGCTGGAAGGAGTGTCYTCCACTGCCACCTTCATCTGTGGAACAGAGGCTGGGATGCTGGGCTGGGCTCTGCCTTGGGGCACTCATGTTCCTTTCTCCTCAAAGTGTCACATCATTCAAACTGGGATGATGACCAGTCGTGTCCAGTGAGGACCCAACTCACTCACAGTCATCATGAAATCTGACCAGTGCAGATATGTTCGCCTGTGATGACCAGCCCAGACAACCTCCACAGCCAATGGAGAGAAACAGGTACTTATAAAATACAGCTCAGAACAGCTTCAAGTGGACTCGAAGTAAGTCAGATGCTTTGTGCCCAAGGCATTTGTGTTTCCCTACATCGTAGGGCAGGCTGGTTTGCTAGCCCAGATGCAGGTGTCTGTGTTCCAGGTGTCTGAGTGAGTGACTGAAACTTGGTGCCTGCTGTGACCCACCACACTTCCAGCACCCATCGCCCTTCKTGTTTTGTTTAGTGGCCAGGACCACCAGTGTTAACTGTGAGAGAATTCAGGAAATGCTCAGCAAGTGCAGAAAACTTTCAAGCATCTGTACATGACAGAGGAAAATAATTTATTTAGGATTTTATGGTTACTCTGAAAAAGGAGACCTGGGCTTAAGTGCCATAACAGACCATGTCACATATTGTAACTTCTCCCCACAACCTCCCTTCTCAAAAGTGGCTTAAATCAAAGCTTTAAACATAGTAGGAGGAAAAAACTTCATGTTTTTCCACACGGATATTTCAGACATGAGTGTCTTGAGTTTAAGGTGCTGCTGAGGGCAAAAAGAAAACCATGATACATGTATTACAACAGTCAGTCAGTGCTATTGTTCTTGTCAATGTTTAACAAAACAAACAACAATTAATAAAAAATGGTTAATGACATTTAATTTCAGCAAAGTATTAATGAAAGATTTATGGAGAGTGATTAATTTGTTTGCTTGTAATTTCGAAGAAAATATTTCTGATTGTGACATTTTGTGCCTCTGTACCTGCTCAGAGTTAAAGCTTGTTAATATTAGCCATGATTCCAGCTGTTAGAGAATGGAAATGGAAGGAGAAACTGAGTTACTGAGACTAAGGGGTTTGATGAATTGTTTTTCAGTCCTCAAAATGCAGTGCCTGTCTGCATCTGACACAAGGTCCTGTGGGTCTTTCTTCTGTGACACTGTAAAACACTCATCCACAGCACTGCATCCCTGACANTTTTTTTTTTTTTTTTTTTTTTTTTTTTTTTCTCCAGGGCAGGAAAAATGATGTGTCTGTCTAAACTTCTCTGCTGCTTTCAAAATTTCTTTCATTTTCCTTTACTTCCAGTTCCAAACCTACCAATGGTTAAAAAATGAAGACATTTTGGCCATTTCTATTTACTGTTTGTCTCCAATTTACCCCTTCATTCTTTGATCTCCTATGTTTCTGCACTTCTCCAGTTCCATTTTTTCCCTGTCTAGATTTCCTTTTCTTTATGTTAAAAAATGCCTTCCTCTCATTTTTATCTATATTTTCATGTTTTCTAGTAGTGATTTTAAGATGGACCGATTCATTTGTCCTGAAATTCTTTTGCCTTTGCTCCCTGATTTTTTTGGTGCTTGTGTGGTTTTTTTGGGTTTTTTTTGTTTGTTTGTTTGTTTTTGGTTTTTTTGTTTGTTTTTTTGGGGGGGTGTTTTTTTGTTTTTTCAGATTTTTTAATTTTTTTTTTGTAGTTTTGTTTTCTTCTTGGTGTACTTCTCTTCCCTGAGAGCTGCCATTTTCACTTTCCCCTCCCCAGGCTGGTGTCCCAGCACAGTGGACCTGGGTGGTTTGGAAGCTCTGCTCTGATGGTGAGATCTCTCTTCAGACCCTGCTGGACAGGTTGCCAGGGATATCACACCACTGGCACTTGCATGCAATGGAAGGGTATTTTTTCAAAACCTGAAAATAGGGGAATGAGATTTTATCAAGGTTCTGCTTCTGCCTTACCAATTGCTCAGTTAGCGCTAGCAAAACAGAGCAGTTATTTTCTTGAGTCTCAATGAAAAGACTAATGTCGCATGCTAAAGTTCAGGCTTGGAGACTGCTCTGTTTAACTCCGTCTCTCAATTTGTTTCCAAATGCACAGCAGACAGGGATTTGGAGTTAAACTTGCCCCAGCTACACCGTTTAAATTGCTGGCTTGACACACACATATGCACTTGTCACTGTGATGAAACTGACCCGTGTATTTAGACACACAAGGTCCTTTTGGCTTGTGATTTTTCAAGTGCCCTCTTGCTTTAGAGCATTAGCTCTTTGTGTGCCACTAGCTCTGTGCCACTAACACTTTACTCCAAATTTTGTTGACTGTTGAGATCCAAGCATGCAAATTTTCCTCTTGCACACCAAAGGGGAACCCTTTTATCCTATTTTCTGCCTAATGAGCTAAATTATGCATGATCTTCCAAAGTGTAATACTCCAAGCCCTCTTTCAGATGATAAGCTATGGCCAATGCATTTATGCATTTCCATTCCAGGGTTGCTCCTCGTTGGTTAAAGGGATGTTTCAAATTAGTAGGGAAATGAGTGGGGAACTACTGATATCCGTGACATACTCACTTGGTGGCAGGCGAAACAGGCTTTTCGCTAATAAGTGGTTTGCATTGTTTTACACTATAATTTGCTATACATTGTTTAGCAAGCAAATTGGGTCTTCATGCCAAACATCTGTGAATGAAACTCTGGCCATGCAACTCTGTACAGCTTAGCACACGCCTGCAATGATGCCTCAGATTCCACAATGACCTCTCCACCATGCATGCATTAACTTGCGCGAGTCCTAAAATCAAGAAAGCATCAAACAGCCGTTTAAAAGCGTATTTCACATGTTGAGCTTCAAGTTCAGATGACATTCTGATCACATCATAAATCTTATTTATCAAAGAATATCATATTGGCTCGTCATGTTGGCTTGTACCAATCCACTGCAGAGTCCTGAATAAAGATCAATGTACTGATGCACATTAAAACACAATTTTTATGTTCCATGTTTAGAAAATTTTTCAGAGGAAACACAGGTTTTGTCCCTCTGTCATGTCTACTCACAAAGCTTAGTTGGTGTATTTGACAAAACCCTCTTTGCCAGCTTTGGCTGCAGTGTAAATCTGGCATAGACCTACTGTTTGCAAGGCAATTGTGTGGTACAGTATCAGGAGAGAGCTTCACCTCATGTCCCACTTGTACACATTTCAGAAAATCTCTATCTGACTACTCATACAAAACCAGTTAAAACCAGAGTAGACTGTTGACTGAACCATGACTTTATCATGCCTCATTATAGCCTTACTGAAGCTTTGAGAAGAGTAAGATCACTTAGACATGGGAATAGAAGTTTTGTCCAGAATAGTAAACTGAGAAGGAGTTTAAAACTCACAATGCAATCCACATCTCATACACTGTTGCGTGCTTCACGCTTGGATGAAAGTTTAGAATAAAGAATAAGACAACCTGAGTATAGTGAACCTGTTTCTACTGCCTACCTCCATAGCAGTGTCTCTGCTGAGTGTCAGTGCATCAAGCCCAGTCTTTGGGAAGGCTGGATCCCAGGGAAACCCAATCAAGCTAGGAAGGGGTGACCTTGGGCTGGCAGCAGAGACATGACAGGATCTCAAATTCACCTCCTGGGATTCCCATAACTGACTCAGCACTGCCAGGAGACACCTGTCTCCATCTGGGAATTTGTTGCTCTGGATTATTCTCTGGTGAAATACATATCCTATTTCTTCCCAAATGGGAATAGAGTGTCATTCTTCTTTTCAAATATAATTAGAGGAGGAAAGACTGTGTTTTTTGGTGTGCATTGTTGGAGAAGATGACCAGTGCTCATGAGATCAAACTGAAATTTCACTCTTTGCTGCGCAGTGGTACAAAATTGTGAATTGTAAAAGTCACCTGCAAAAACATCTCTCTCTCTACATATATATATATATAAATGTGTGTGTGTGTGTGTAAAAAATTGCAGTGTATAGATAGTATCATCTGACAGAGATTTTACCAAAGGCAAAAGCTATGAGGCATCTCTGTACTATCTGCACAACTGTACCCGGTGCCAGTGCACAAGGTACCCAAGCCAAAAACCCCAGCGTGTTTTCAGTTCCTCTCAAGGTGCTTTTAGCACCACATAAAGAGCTCATCTCTCTCTCATTGCTGTTTCACCCCTGAGCAAAGCTCTCTGGGCAGCCCCATTTGGCAGCCCCATTTCTGGGGGTGGCATGTGCCGGGTAGAGGATGTGCCTGCTGATCCCTCGGGCAAAGTGGCTAAAGGGAGGATGCAAATCATAAAGCTGTTTCACTTTTATGTGCAATGATTTCAAAGCTCTTCTACACAATGATATTTCATCAGCTATCAACACATAAAACATAATGATTTTCAATGAAATTGGGTCTCATACAACACACCAATTTACTTCACAGGACTGGTCTGTCCTCAGGGGACATAGAAATAGAAATACCCCGACATATCCACAGAAATATCCAAGCTACCTATATACCAATAGAGATCAAGCAGCAGTGGCATCTTCCTGGGTTACAAGAAGTTGTTCAACAATGAGGGGAAATATCTGTGCAGTTTATTTCCACTCAGTTTCATGTCCAGGGCTAGGATGCTCACAGTACCTATGCCAGTTCTGTTTAGAGCTCTTGGCTAGACTTCACTGCTGGAAGCCCAGACAAGATGATGTGTGGGCTGTAGTC